TATTAATTTTTAAATTTAATATATTAAATAAAAAATATAAAATTTGCATCCTTCTAAACCGTCCGATCAAATATGTACGGTCAACCATGTACGGTTATGATGTAAGGATCTATTGTTCTTACAGTGGTTCGTGTTGCATTTGATTCTTCCGACAAATTACAAAACCCGCGCAAATTTGAAACTTTTCCCTTTTTGGGTTTTTCCCACTAACAAAAGCTGAAGACTTTTTCTGTGGAAATTCATTTTATATACAAACGCACTGAGAGGGAAGAGAGAGAAAGAGAGTGGGGCGGTGTGTGGTTAATGAAGAGGAGAGGCGTGAGGAGGAGTAATCGGAAGGATTCCGGCAAAATGAAGGGGACATTAACGGCGGAGCTTCAGCTAGGGCAGGTCTCATTGTTGCATTCGCTCCACCACCATCACCACCACCAACCTTCCTCAGCTGCTTCCTCTTCTCTCTTCCAGAACCTTCCAGATTCCGAAGCTGCCAACGCCTCCACCTTAGCTCTCGACATCGATGCCGATGCCGATGCCGCAGCCGCGGATGACAGAGATTTCATTCTCAGTCAAGACTTCTTCTGGTAAATTCCTTTTCATGTGCTTGCTGTGTATGTATTCTGAATCGTAGTTTGATGTTAGCATATAGGATGTTGGTGAAGTGAAAGTTGCAATCTTTCACGATTTTAGAGGTTGCGTATTGTGATTTTTGGTGATTTAGTCAGCAATTTGGTTGTGGATGCAGCACTCCAGATTATATCACTCCTGATAATCAGAATCTGCTAAGCAGCTTTGATTCCAACAAGGTCAGTTCGTAAAGCAATCAATCTTATGGAATTTTTATGCCGAAGTTCTGGAATCTGATTCCTTTTTTATGTTTCTATAGGAAAACATCCTTTGTCCTAAATCGCCAGAGAAGCTGAATACTCTCAAGCGCAAAAGGATTCAACCAGGTCTGATGCTAATTTTGCAAGTGATGATATTGTTGTTGTTGCTTGCATTAGCTTTTATTCAATATTCCAAATTCTACCTTTGATTGAAGCTTTGTTGGTTGTGAAAGGATGGATGGAAATAATTGAGCTATATTTACAATCAAATTAAGAACACTATCATAGAACTTGATCTTTATGCTTAAAAGTGATCGTTTGGATTGGTTCCAATTCCAAATCAAATAGTGATGATGATGAACTCTTCTTTTTGGGCAAATTTTTAAAAAATAATAATAAAAAGAAAAAAGAAAAAAGAAAAAAAGAAAAAAAAATCACTTTTCTTCTGGATATCAAATTAGCATCCTTTCATGACTCTAAATTACACATTTGTTGAAGTTGGATATTGGATAATTGGTTGAAAGCATCTTGGAGTAAAATCTATGAACAAGTTTAATTACCCAGACTTTGCTATCCACTATAGTGTTTTAACTAGTTAGCCTTACTAGTTTTGCATCCAAAATCTTCATCATGGTATGAGAATCATGGGAAAGGGGAAACATGGCATGAATGATAAAGGAGATGTGAAACTTTGTGTGCTAACTACCCTTCATACATTTTTCCAAAACAATGCAAATAGCAGAAGCTTCATTTTGTTTGCAATTATGAATGTAGGACCTTGTTAATCATTTTAGTTTATCCATTTGCCAGACTCTTGTTTTCTTAAGTATTCTGCTATTCATGTCTCTAAATCTCCCTGAGCAGAGCATATTTACATTTAACTTTAGGCATCACTATTTTCCTATCAGTAATTTTATTATCTTTAATGTTCTAAGTCTTTTGTTGTCTCTTTGGCATTCAACATTCATGCTTTTTCCAGATGGTATCTCAAGAAATCCCCTTAGTCCTACATTATCAGGAAATCAACAAATAGTGGAACTTGCCAAAGACATTCTTGAAATGGATGAAGCTAGTATAGAGAAACCAACAGCAACTGGACCTCAGAGTACTAAAGGTTATGTTTCACAATCTGCAGTTGCTTTACGCTGTCGAGTTATGCCACCTCCTTGCATTACTAATCCATATCTAAGGGATGCTTCTGAGACAGGAATAGATCCCTTTGAAAATCAAAGATCAAAATGTGCAGGTATAGTTCAAGATCCAGTAGTAATATTCACTTTCCCCTTTCCCCTTAGAAATAAAGAATCAGTGCTTTTATGTCCTAGGAGCATAAAAATTTTCAAAAACATTTTCCCACTATCTGCAGGTTTCTTCAGCACAAGCATTGGTGGAGATGGTCTTTCACGTTATCACACAGATTTTCATGAGATTGAGGTATCTATTTATATTTGAAGAATATGTAGGCTTCTTTTGGATCATTAGTTCCATTCACATATTAAAAGTCTTAGCTTAATGTATTTCAAATTTTCAATCCTTGCTTTACAGCAAATTGGTATGGGGAACTTCAGCCAAGTTTTTAAAGTTTTAAAGAGAATAGATGGCTGCATGTATGCTGTGAAACATACCATGAGGCAGTTGCATCAAGACACAGAAAGGTAGCATGGTTCTTTGTTTTTTATTTTCAACATATCTAATTTTTGTTACTAACTCCCTTAATGGGCAATTTTTGCACCTTGAAGGAAGAAAGCCTTAATGGAAGTTCAAGCCTTGGCTGCTCTAGGTACATATAGTTTTTTGTTTATGTAAATTGTGATTATGCTTAGATATTTGAAATTGGAGCAATCTTTCATAAATTGTTTTAACATTCTGCTGTTGCAGGGTCTCATGAAAATACTGTTGGTTATTTTTCATCCTGGTTTGAAAATGAGCAACTGTACATCCAGATGGAACTATGTGATTACAGCTTGTCCAGAAATAAGACTTCCCAATTATTCACAGAGGGCGAGCTGTTGAAAGTCCTACATCAGGTTAACATTCTCTTTGCTGTGTCTCAATACAAAGAGGAAGCATAATGTCTACAGTGTCTTTTTAATGACATCATGTTAGAGACTTTGTAGTTTTTTACATAGAGTTGCACAGGTGGCATGTCCAATGGCATAGGTTGACTTACTAAATAACGTGGAAGAGGTTTTAGTACTCAAAACTCAAAAAGACTGATATTTACCTGTAACCTGAAATTTAAGGGGGATTTGTATGTTTCATGGAAGTAAAATAAAACATGGAAATGTCTACCAGAGCATCAGAACTTGAATTTGTCCTTGTTACGTTTAACTTTTGTTGGCAGTGGTGGTGATTGATTTCATTTTGAATGACAAAATTTATGCAGATTGCCAAAGCATTGCAGTTTATACATCAAAGAGGAATAGCTCACCTGGATGTCAAACCTGATAACATTTATGTCAAGAATGGTGTTTTTAAACTAGGTGACTTTGGATGTGCAACTCTCCTGGACAAGAGCTTGCCAATTGAAGAGGGTGATGCTCGTTATATGCCTCAAGAAATCCTAAATGAAAACTATGATCACCTTGACAAGGTTGATATCTTCTCTTTGGGAGCTGCTATTTATGAGCTTATCAGGGAGTCACCTTTTACAGAATCAGGGGCCCAGTTTCTTAGGGAAGGAAAGTTGCCACTCCTCCCTGGACACTCGTTGCAGTTTCAAAACTTACTCAAGGTATTCTATACCCTGTTCTTTCTTTAAGGGCCGAATCATTTCCTTAGAATAAGAGAAATTTTCCTGCTTTCCTAGTTATATGAAAACCAAATCTGAGGTACTTCTCATTTGGATGAATGATAAATAAAATTCTACATTTTGAAAAAACTGTAGATGAATAAGGGTTCTACTTGCAGTAAAATAATATTCATTTCCTATAAAATAAATAAAATGGAGCCTGCTTAGTCCATTAGAATAGTAAGTACTTGGCTGGTACACAATAATCAAATATTATTTCATCCATTAAACTGGAATTGCATTGGAAGCTAACTACATTATGGTTAGTTTTATCTGATATGTTTGATAATTCTATTAGGCAATGGTTGAACGAGATCCAGCTCGACGTCCTTCTGCAAAGGAATTAGTAGAAAACCCCATCTTTGACAAGATTCAGTGAAATGTGAGAGCCCCAGCATCACCATTATGCGATGATAACTCATGATGGTATTTGCAGTGTTGTGTAGTTAGCTTTTTGAATTTCTTGGCTCAGGTTGATGCTTAAGGGCATTGGATTGACCACTGTAAAATCCATTTTTGTTAAATTATGCACCAAATTTTGTGTCATAATGGTGCAGCTTTTGTAAAGTTTGGATTAAGCCCTGCCCAAGAAATGTTGTATTGTGACTGAAAGACAGCAACTCTCCCAAAATCGTATGAATCCAGTCATCCAATCGACTTTTTTTGCTCTTTTTCTTGCTTTTCGTCGTTCTTGCATCTGGGCATTAAGGACAACTTAAATCCTCAGGTTGATTTGATTGCTTTTGTGGCATAAACTCTGTCAGCTTAATGTCAAGTTCTAGTAATTGCCCCATTCTTTTTGATTTACATGAATGAAATGAGGCTCTTGTCCCGTTTTAAAAGCAAAAATCAAACACATAATCAAGGTGTAAATCCTATTTCCTTTATGTCATTGGACCTGGAAATGTTAGTTGCTAAATAAAATATGCGCTGATCCAAATTTTCTTCGGAAGTTTCAGAAATGTTGCTCTCTTGGTCTTGGCATAGATCTCTTGCCATATGATAAAATTCAAACGCTTTTTTTTATGTTCCTTTTGGTTGGCAGAACATCAGCAGCGTAATTAACCCAATAATAAAGGAACACCTGATTTAACATGGGAGTTTAGTTCTCATCTTGGTTTTTTTATATGTGGAGGGTAGGTATTAAATCTTAAGTTTGTTACTAAAAATAAAAATAACTTTACTATTAAATTACAGGGTTGATGGTTATTTCTCATCTTCTTAAGCACACCTAATACTCTCTCAAGTCCCCACACTAGAATTGGCTGGTACAATGGGCGTGGTCCTAGGTAAGGACAAGAAAGCTCTATTGGTTACCTGTCTATGTATCACATAACTCTATTAATGCTTCTATGGTATTTTTTAATATTTAGAGGGTTTTTGTACTCAATTATCCACATTTATTATAACGAAAATTATTGGTATATATTCAATTTAATATATTTTTAAATATATTTTTTGTTTAATAATTAAAAATATAATATAAATACAGTAAATTCAGTTAGTTTTTATATCTTATGTATATAATTATATGTTTAAATTTATTTATTTTTAATTTCAGATCAAAAAATAATGACATTTTAATGAGTTTGTTGTATAATGTATTGAATCGAATATGTATTAATCACTATTCTTATCATAAATATTATCTTTTTGTATTAGATTCATAAGCCTCTCTAGTCTTTTATTTTCCTTGTAAGCCTATATGACAAAGGTATAGATTGGCCGTAATTGATTTTTTATTTCAATAGTACGATTCTGTTCTAAAAATTTTTTTTTCTCAAACTCTCTGCTCTTAAAAATGGCTAAAACCAACATTTAGCCCCTCACCTTACAAAATTGATAGGTTTTAACCTTTAACCTTACAATATAACACTTTTAGCTCTTTACCTTATAAGGTTGGTAGGTTTTAACTCTTTACTTTACAAAATTAGTAAATTTTAGCCCCTCACCTTATATTATGACACTTTTAATCCCTTATCTATATGAATGGAAGAAAATAGTCTTTATTTAACATCAGGTTTTAATGTTCTATTAATTCTATTAGCTAACTGTCAATTTTGTTAGTTGACTGTCAATTTTATTAACTAACTATTAGTTCTAAGAGTTGACCGTTAGCATCCGCATTTCATTGATGAAACTACCAAATAAAATTGAATTTAAATATCATATTTTTTTATAATAAAATGCTAACAAATGTTAACAGTCAACTAACAGAACTAACAAAATATTATAACTTGATGTTAGGTGAGGATTATTTTCTTTAATTCGTATAGGTGATGGGCTAAAAATATCATATTAATATAAGATAAAAGCTTAAAACGTACCAATTTTGTAAGATAAAAAGCTAAAACTGTCATGTTATAAGATGAAGAAGTAAAATCTACTAATTTGATAAGATGAGGGGCTAAATATTGGTTTTTGCCCTTAAAAATAGATCACTTTTACAGAATCAGGACCCCAGTTTCTTAGGGAAGGAAAGTTGCCACTTCTCCCTGAACACACTGTAGTGGTAGTAGTCCGAAGTCACAGTCCGGTCTCACTTAGCCCGAGGTAAAATACCTTCGGCACCCGGACCACTTCCAATCTCGTCACCTCGGCAACAAGGAATAACGAGCGTGTCCAAGCTCGAGCTCATCCCCCTTGATCCTACTCTACAGTAACTCCGTACGTGCAGGAATACTGTAAGGAAATCTTATGGGATCATCGACACATATAGCCCTGATTTCTCGTGAAGAACAACACGTGGATGCCCCTTTTGAAGGCTATAAATACCCCCCGAGGGTCCTCCCTAAAGGTAATTGGAAAAACCGAACTCAAGCCTAGTTCTTGATTCATATTTGGTAACTCTGATTATTGCTGACTTAGGCATCGGAGTGTCTACCCCGAGAACCCACCTCGGGGCTTTGCAGGTCTACCGAAGTGAGCAAACAGGATCCCGAAGTACCCAAGCACTTTTGCAACTACACACTCATTGCAGTTTCAAAACTTACTCAAGGTATTCTCTATCCCGTTCGTTCTTTAAGTGCTGAATCCTTTTCTAAAAATAAGTGAACTTTTCATTCTTTGCTAGCTATATGAGAACCATGTCTGAGAAACTTCTCGTTTAGGGATGAATGAGAAATATAATTCTACATTTTGATAAAAATATAGATGAATAAGGGTTCTACTTCCAGAAAAATAATATTCATTTCCTATAAAACAAATAAAATGGAGCTTGCTTAGTCCATTAGAATGGTAAGTACTTGGCTGGTATACAATAATCAAATATTATTTCATCCATTAAACTAGCATTGCACTGGAAGCTAGCTACATCATGGTTAGTTTTATCTGATATGTTTGATAATTCTGTTAGGCAATGGTTAAACGAGATCCAGCTCGACGTCCTTCTGTAAAGGAATCATTAGAAAATCCAATCTTTGACAAGATTCAGAGAAATGTGAGAGCCTCAGCATGACCATTAGGCGATGATAACTCATGATGGTATTTGCAGTGTTGTATAGTGGCTTTTTGAATTTCTCGGCTCAGGTTGAGGCTTAAGGGCATTGGATATTGACAACTGTAAAATCCATTTTTGTTAAATTATGCACCAAATTTTGTGTCATAATGGTGCAGCTTTGTAAAGTTTGGATTAAGCCCGGCCCAAGAACTGCTGTATTGTGACAGAAAGAGAGCAACTCTCCCAAAATCATAGGAATCCAGACATCCACTTGACTTTTTTTTGGCTCTTTTTCTTGCTTTTCGTCGTCCTTGCATCCTAGCATTAAGGACAAATTAAATCCTCAGGCTGATTTGCATTCCCTGGCTGCAGTGATGCCACGCTTATTAAGTGACGAGGAAGTGAAACGCACTTTGATCTACGGATAAAATTTTAGATTTGATTTTCTTAAAATAGATACTAATTTAACATTATTATTTTTGTTAAAAAAAAAAAATTCCTCAGGTTGATTTGATTGCTACTGTAGCACAAACTATGTCAGCTTAACGTCATGTTCTAGTAATTGCCCCATTCTTTTTGATTTACATGGATGAAATGAGGCTCTTGTCACCTTTAACATTTACACTACTAGAAAATAGTTTTTAATGGATAAAAAATTTTATCTGTTATATAAGAAATTTTATCAA